TCAAATCATCAGGACTTGCCTAAAATAAAATCTATATATAAAACAGTTCAAGTATGTCACAATGTTAGTTTAAATGTTTAACCTATATAAATGTGCGCTGTTAGACTTATATCCAATCGTTTGCGGAGAGTGGAAGCTGAAGCTCTGCAAGACATGGAGGCGCCAGTGCGATCACTTGCATTTTTTTCTAACAGTGGAAACAACTCAAAATATGCAGTCATTTTTGCTCATAAAGGTAAAAGTAATACATCATTCTAAACTGTAAAGCTATAAACTGTAAAGCTAGTTTTATTTGTGTGCACTCACAATATCAACAAATATTTGCTTTTATATTAAAAACAAAAACAAACGCTTTCTGTCGTCTCGGTCTTGAACAGGAGCGCGTCACAATGATTAACCTAAACTCAGACATGATCAAAATATATAGAAAGCTTTAAATTACTATTTTAAAACGAAATAATTCAACTCGAAAATAGACTCCTATTAAAATAAACTCTTTCATTATGAAATCCGTGCATTTCTCTCTAAAGGCACATCCAATTAGGAGATGGCGAGTCACATAATACAATGTAAGTTGTTCATTTGTACTCATGTTAATGTTTTCAGAATAGGATACATATTAAACTGTAATTAATTATCAGTGAGAGTTATACCAGGGTTTGCCCTCTGCCTGAGTCAAGATCAGACTGTTTTTCAGATCATTTTGACTAACGCAGATCTCCTTCTCAACATGTGTGTGTGTTTCACTGCAGAATAGAAATATGCATTGATCAAATTCAAACAGATGCCATATTTTTCATGCTAAATATAGCTCTTTTATGCATAATGCACTAATAAGAAAGTTGACGTGATTCAGGTGGATTCAGCAGAAAAATGCAGTGGTAGCTCTTTCAAAAGATGCATTCAAGTCCAAATTTACCATTTATTTTCATCGTCCTCATCCTGGTTGACTTCACCATTGCGCACAGAGGACTCGTGACCATTAATGGAAATGCTGAAAAAGACAACCAAAAATATTGAACTTAGTGAACACATCACAATGTGTCAAACGGCAACATACAGAGTAAATAAAATCTCACACTACTGAAACAATAGTGCATGAGGTACATAGTGAATCAAGAATTCAGAATTACTTTTTCTGCATGCATGTTGTGTCTGCCTCCTCTTGGTCAACTTCTAAAGCTCTTTGCCTAATCAGAAAAGACCACAGAAAAATACATTAAAAAAATGTAAATTAAACTCTCAACATTTTTTATTTTATTAACAGAGTACATTTACATTCCACTAGGCCAGTTAAGGGGAAAAGTGCCCTCAAACACTTACAATGATGTCATGCGCATGTATTCATTGCTGTCCTCTGCAGATTCATCCTGCATCTCATCCTTCTCATCTTTATGTTCAATAACTGGAATCTGACAGGCAGAGGTTTGAGTTAAATTTTTTCAATAGAAAGTTTAAGAGCAATTATGTGCATATTATATATTGAAGAAACTGTGTGTAAATGTGTAAAACCTTGAATGCTACTGGTACTGGAGGTTCGCTGAGTTTGCGAGGATAGTCATAATGGCTGTACGGTGACGGGTAAGTTAACATTAATTCAGGTGCTGACCGTCTGTCATCAGGCTGATCCTCAACCTTTGGTTCCGAACTCTTCACAGGTTCAGATGCTGATCTAAATCTGTTGTCCTATGGAAAAAGTAAAGCATGTGAGCATGCGTAAATGCTTGTATATAAGTTGTAGATAAATATAAATCGTCAAGATGTACATTTCTAAACAAAACAAAAAAATAATAAATTATTTAAAGTAATAATAATATTAAAAATAAAGATTTTATCACTACATAATTTCCTTGTTATTCATTATTCAGGAAATGGTCATGTAAAAAAATCAGTAGGCGTATCCAAACCTTTGACAGGTAGTTTATATATGCATACATGTGAAGAGAGAGATATTTTAATGTTTACCTGAAGGGTATTTCGTGATTTCTGGGTCTTCATTACCTTGACTAAAGCATTGAGCCAACCATCCACATCATCACTGAAAACACCAGAAAACATTTAACACTAGTGGAAAAACTGCATCAGGTGTTTTAAAATGAAAATTGTCAAATAAAAGATTTATTTTATTATATTTCCAGTATATATAACTAATTTAAAAAGCTGTAAAAAGCTACAAGCTTAAAATGATTAAGAGACTGCTTAAAGACTCCATGAAATCAATATTTAACTTTATTTTATTTACAGATCAGGACACATGTTGAATTAATTTCTAAATAAATGTGATGAGATGAACCATAAAAGGTAATTTTTATTTTATTTTTATTTTATTTTACTTACAATGTTTTTTTGTTTTATTATGCTTTGGCAATATACTAAATGCTTAGTCATGCCGATAAAGCTTTGTTGACTGACTCTGAAGGCTCAGTTTTAAATGTGTATATAAGCTACACTACTAACATATACATGGCTTCAATAGACATGGGCATTTTATTTATTAATTTTTTTCTGCCTGTGTCATGCTGGCTTACATGGAACTGTCTAGTGATAGCATTGAGAAATATGGTCTAAATGATGGTGGCAAACCTGTTTTCTCCAATTAGGAAATAATCTCTAGAGTGTTTTGGTGTGTCGTCTTCCACCTTCAAGAACAGCACAGAGGACGGAGAACACTTGAAGTTTTTCTGGATCCAGTCCCACTTCTGATGTGCCTCGGGACCAATAAACAGCAGGCTGATCCTTTAAAACAAATACATTTTCACTATAGTGTGAAAATACTTCATTCATTTATTTATGACTTTGTCAGTCTTTTCCTTACTTAGAAAGGTCTATCTCTCCCTGAGGCTTGTCTCTCCTTTTGTTGTTTACATGATATGTCAGCCGGTAGGAGACGCCCGTTTTGGAGAGCACAAAGAAACGACGCTTCCATGATTTCTGTAACAGCTATAACATAAAACTGCTAAGTTAAACGAACAGAGGAACTGTCTTTGAAAGACTGCAGATATTTTGATTTAAGGCTGAATTGCAATATGAGACGTACAGTGGTTTTATTCAGGGCCGTTAGAGGGGGGGACTTGAGCAGGTATCCAGTGTACAGTTCCTCCACCATTTCTGGTTGGTTGTAAAATGTTGAAGTTGCTGCTGCAGAAACATAATTGAAACAACATTAAAGACATTGATGCTACTCAGTTTAATTTTTCAGTTGTCGACTTGATTATCTCATTTTTCTCAAGAGATTTTTAGACTTGGTTTCTTTTTGTTGGACATCCTGATGTTGTTGCTTTAGTTCTAAAATAGATGTGAAATGTTATTTAAGTTGTTTTACTTTAAGCCACTGATATATTTGATAAACAGAAGTAAACAACAGTGATTTCTGATTTTGTAAAAGAAAAAAAACATGCAATGCCAGCAAAATACAAATTAAAATACAATGGAAATGAACCCTCCACCATATTTCAAATATATAATACTTTGTAATACCATTGCATGATGTCTTTATGAATGTTTTAAACTCTAATTCTAATATTCACATGAATAGTATCAGCATTATTTCTTTACATGTTACAAGCAGAATCATCATATCAGTAGCCATATTCTATAATACTATTGCCTTACCTTGTGTCACCGTAAGAAGTTATTCAGCTCTCACAAGGTGTATGTTATGATGGCAGTTTAGGAGGAAGCTAGAGGCTTTTTGTCTCTTTCAGAGTGTTATGCTGGTAAAAGGAGGAGTTTCTGGTTATATGTGAGCTCAGGTTTAGGATCCCTCCCCTTTGATTGTGTTTGTTATTTGTTTGTGGAAACTACCAGACAAACGTGTTCATGGCATTGTGGTATTGTGGTAAACTCGATACTACAAAAATAAATTTAGCTTCTGAAGCACATGCAGTAAGCGGTGACTGAAATATGTACACATATACACTCATAGTCTTATACATAATCTGGCACTTTCCCATTTATTGGATTACAGTTATTTATGTAGTTTGAAGCTCTCGGTTCCCCTTAGGAATGCAAGAGGTGACTTAAGTTACCATGCCAAAAAATTATTCTTTCTTTCTCTGTCTTTCCAATCTTGGGATTGTAGGGGGAAATATTGACTGAGGGATTTCAGTGAATACTCTTATGATACTGTAATTGTCTTTCCTCCACTGTTTTTCTTCT